CAAAAAAGTCTATACGTGTTTAGTATGAATGCAATGGTACACAGCTCAGACTCATAGTGATCCTTCTGTTTTCAGTCTCCCCAGTGCTGGGATTACAGACATGCGCCACCTCTCCAGATCTCAAAAGATTGAACCTCAGTCCCTGCGCTTGCCTAAGTAGAAGTTTAACCTACTAAGCTATCTCTCCGGCCCTAATGAAATATTTTTAACCATTTTTTTTTTTTAGTCATGCCTTGTTGAATCCTAGGATATGGAAGGGCAACTGTAACTTAAATTCTAAGACATATTTCTTCATTTAGAATGGCATAAACTAGTGAAAACAGAACACCATAAGTCAAAGGATGAATTTCCCATAGAAAGGGAAATGTCTTATATTTTAGCACATTTAAAGCCATGGTTTTTCTGGTTTTTGAATGAAGGGTTGTGTGCTGGCTTTACATTGCTGTGAAAGAATGTCTGAGGTAATCAATTTATAAAGATGAAAGATTTATTTTGGCTCAGAGTTTTTCAGATTTTGGCACACTGGGGTTTGAACACAGAGCCTTCACACTGAGCTACATTCCCAGCCCTTTTTATTTTTATTATGAGATAAGGTCTCAGTAAATTAGCCCGGCTTGGCTCAAACTTTTGTTCACCTTGCCTCAGTGTTGGGATTACAGATGCTAGCTACCATACCTGGTTGGTTCACAGTTTTAAAAGGTCCATGATCGCTGGGCCCATGGTGAAGCAGCACTGCATGTTGGAAGGGCATGGCAAAGAAGCACTCACCTCAGGTGGCCAGGAAGCCGAGAGAGAGGGTCTCAGTGGCAACAACTTCAGAAACCCAAATTCCTTCCACCAACCCCCTTCTCTGTAAGCTCTACCACCCCCCAGTGGTGCCATCAGCTGGGACCAAGCTGTCAACATATGAATCTATGGGGGACGTTTAAGATCCAAACGTGAAGTGCCACATTTGCATTTTGTCCTGAGCTCTGATAATTGCACAGCCAGCCCTGGAAGGGCTCTGGCTCACATGGGGGTTTAGTTCTCTATCTCTGGAGCACCTGGAGTTCCTGGGGCTGCAGAGACTGACTGGCAGGCAGGCTCCCAGCACCCCTTCTCTCACCCAGAAACCAAAGCCAGGACAAGCAGTCCATGACCTTGACCTTGGCAAGACATCTTCCCAGAGGTCGAGGGTCTGCTACTGAATAGGAAGAGACACATGGCCTCAAGTCATGAGTTTCACTAAGGGTCTGGTTCTTCCAGCTCAAGAGGGACAGGATGTCGCTGGCCTGGCTCACTGCTCAGGCGGCAGCAGCAGCAGCATAAGCCAGCGTGGTACAAATGGCTGAGAAACCGAGGGACCTGGACAACGGCTCCAGGAGCCCTGCTGTTGCTCTGGGGTGCAGGTTACATGCTTTGGTTCGACAGCACAGCTGACTCTGCAACTGTCAGTGAGAGGGTGTCCAGCAGGAGGCCAGACTACACAGTCGTGTCTGGGGCGCACACACATGCAAGCCCCAGTACTGAGGGGAGCCCGCTGAAGATCTCTGCATGGATGGGCATGGACCTGGGGTGGGGGGCATAGGCTTAATCTTGGTGCTGTCCCTGGGCTTCTTCAGTATGTACCCAAGTGTAGGATCTACAGGTCACATTCTCTGCTGATTTGATAACAAAGAATGACTTTCTAAATTGAGGCTTATAGAAACATTCCCAGGACACCCCAAGTGAGCACCTTAGTGTGCCCACTGTAAGACATACTGGAATAATTCATTGATCACAAGTAAACACAGGTCCCCAGAGCTCCCTGGAGCTCTAGTCAATGGACTATTCTCCAGCTTCCCCCCACCCATCCACCCCTCTTTCCCCAAGACCTGCTAGGCAGCAACATGCAATCCAGATTAAATGGAATCTGTTATTTTAGTGAAGAACCCCAAAGCACCACTCTATTCCCCTGTCCATGGACTGAGACACCAAGAGGTTGCCCTAAGCCCATGCTGATTATCTGCTTGGAATGGGATGGACTCCTGACCTTCAGGCAGGGCAAAGCCTGTGTCCCTGGCTCTTGACAGAGTTCTGCTGCCCATGACAGAGCCTGTGAGCCAGGCAAGGCCCAATCCAAGCTGGCTCAGCCAGAATGCTGGATTACTAAGGGTGTTCTCTCCAGGAGAGCCACTGGGTCACCCTGCCTGGAAGGTAGGTCCTGCTATTTCCAAACTGCCCTCAGACACTTAAGCAAAGTTAAATGACAATTTGAGACAACAAGGAGCAAACAGCCAGAGGAACCAGGTGACCCACTTCCAAAGTGCCATCATCCCCTCTCAGAAGTGTCCTTGTCTAAACAAGAAGCTATGGCCATCACATCCCATGTCTCCCGGTGGGACACTGCCACAGGATGCAGAACCACCAAACCCAAGCCCCATCACAGTTCCTTTTGACCTCCTCTCCCCAGTTCCAGCCTATAGGAAAAGGGGTCAGGACAGTGTTGCCATTCTGTGACCAAAAACACCAAGGGGGGCCAGGCACGGTGGTGGTGCACACTTGTAATCCCCATACTCTGGGAGGCTAATCCTGGCCTGTACCAATGAACAACTTTATGAGATCCAGTCTCTAATTTAAAAATATTTTAAAAGGCCAAGGATATAGCTCAGTGGGAAGATTTTTGTACTCAATCCCTAGTACCAAAAACTAATTAAATTACAATAAAAAATAAAACTGAGGGAAAATGCCTATAAAATGCTGAAGAGAGTCATACTGTGAATTAGGTGTGGACTTCAGATAGCTCCTGAGTTCATAGCCTAACTGAACAAACTTTTGAGACAATCAGACAAAACTGAGCCATTGGCTGGGGGTCTGACGATAGATAAACTGCTGTCGTGCACTGAGGGAGAGGAAAGAATTAGGGTTTCCTTTAGAGACACATGTGAACAAGCGCAACCATACAAAGGCTGAGTAGGTTGCTTCAGGGGTACTTAGGAGGTGGGCGGCGAGATAGCTCAGTGGACTAAGTCCACTGAGTCCAGGCATGGTGGTCCACGCCTGTAATCCCAGTGCGGGGGAGGCTGAAAACAGGGGGATCACTGAGTTCAAACTGTGTAGTGAGACCCTGCACCAAATACATGAAATGAAAAAAAGTACTTGTGGAGCAGAGGATATAGTTCAGTGGCACAGCGCCTGCCTAGCAAGCACAAGGTCCTGAGTTTGATTCACAGTACAAAACAAACAAAAAAAGATGAGTAAAACTATTTGGGGAGTCAGGCTACTCTGAAAGCTGAGGCAAAAGGACTGTAAGTTAGAGGTCAGGCTGGGCAAACTAGTGAGACTTTCTCCCAAACTAAAATTTTAAGACCAGGTATGTAGCTTAGTAGTAAAGTGTTTGCCAAGCATGTTTGAAGCCCTGGGTCCAATCCCCAAATACCAGACACATACACACACACACACACACACACACACACACACACAAATTAAAATGAACACTAAGACTGCAGAGTTTTGTCCACTGCAAACTGGTCTGAAGTTCCTATGCTGGAGACGGTGCTTCCCCATTCCTGCAGGCAGGACCATCATCCTACGATCTTGGTGACTGAAGGCCTCTTCCTGAGGTCCAGGTGAAAAGTCACAGGGAAAGCTGAAGACCATGACACAGTGCACTAGTGGCCTGGGAATAGATCCATTGTAGGGTGGCTCTTGCTACCTGGTCACACTGTCCTTTAGAAAAAGCTGGTTCACTTAGCCCTGCAGTCCCAAGCATGGTTGACTCCAACTGGGTGTGATACTCACTAACCCTTGATTCTAGCTACATATTCAGCTGGAGAGAAGCTCTAAGGACTTCTGCTCCTCTGGTAAGGGGTGGGGGGAGATGTTGTCAGCCCTGATTTCTTAGACTGATGCACCCCGAGGGCCTGTGTATACCATGGACAGGGTCACACCTGCTCTGCTACGTGGCTAGCCACGCCCCTCCTAGGTTTCAACGGCTGTGCCCCACCCTCTCCCTCCTCAAGGAAGGAGTGCCTGAAGCACCCAGAACCAACTGAAGATCCCCCAGCCCCTCCCATACCCTTGTAGTAAAAGGGTGCTTTCAGCACAGGGAGACTTCAAAGGTGCCGAGGCCCAGGGTCAAAGGTGGAACCATGCAATACCCTGTCACATCTCTCTGAGGTGAGGGGACCCTGGAGATAGTATGGGTGGCAATTCCAGAGAAGTTTTCTGGCCTGCTATCCAAAGGTGGCTCCCACAGTTTGGGTAACAGACATGCAGGGCCTTGCCACAGCCATCCAGCCCCTGAGGCCAGCACAGGCTGAGTGGCTGGCAGGGTGCAAACTCAACAGCACCTCCCAAACCTTCCCAGGCTATAAGGTAGCCTTGGGTCAGTGTGACTGTGTTAAGTGATTTGTCCAGGGCCACCTTGTTGGTATTCTGGATGTGGAGCCCTGGCCTACAGACCCTCAGAAGAGGGCAAGTAGTGCTCATAATGATGGCCTTGGTCCCAGCCCTACAGCCAGAACTTGCCCTGGAAGTTGACCTCTGAACCTGTCAGTGACCTCTGCACTTCAGTTTCCCACAACCCTGCCCCCACCCCTCACCCCTCCCACCTCTCCACCCCCCCCACCCCCCAACCCTGTCTGGGCCAATCCCCAACTCACAGCCGCAGCCCCACAAAGGGTCTGTATCACCTTGGCATCTACCAGCCCTGGCTTGGCTGAACTGAGTCTTACACCTGTCCACCCACCCCAGAGTAGGTGATAAAGGAGAAACCATGGCAGTCTGGGCCACATACCTGGCCCTCACCTGGGAAATGGGACATGACTTCTGGAGAAGGCACTGCCAGATGCCACTAAGCAGTGAAAGTAACATATTCATAAAGTTCATGTTTGCTTAAATAGGTGTCCCCATAGACCAGCTAAGCAGCATTGCCTCAGCCAAGGATCCCAGGATCGGTTTCAGAGGAGAGAGACCCACCAGACACTTGTCCCTGTTGACCTGCCAGGTCCACACCTCTACCAAGCTGGAAAATTCCAGGCTGTGGGGTAGGCAGTGGGAATATAGACAATCTTTATTGTGCTCCAAGCCTAAGGCTATTTTGTACAAAAATAAGTCTTCCTATTTTAAGGAGTCCCTCCAGAAGTTCAATTTAATGCATTAAAAAAAAAAAATGGAAAAGAAAAAGATTTCCTTGTCCTTGTAAAATCCTCTCTGTAAAAACCTTCAGGTGCTGGGGAGGACCGGCGGAAGCTGTCAATCCAGCGGGGCTAGGCAGGCTGGTTCCATAAAGCACTTGTCAGGCTAGACAGGACGGACAGCGTTGGTGAATCCCCCGTTAGGTGGGGACAGAGCCCGAAAGGGTCCCCATGACGGGTTCCAGGTGACAGGCGTTCCTGCCGCCAGGTGTCCAGGTCTGCGCTGCCGAGACAGAACTGGCGTTAATGCGGGCCAGCCCTAGGCAGACCCCATCCTGCTCCCGCCTCCCAAAACGCAGCCGGCAGCTTTGTTTTGCTGGTTTTGGAGTTTCAGTCCAGGGGTGCCTGGACTTGGTCTAAAGCCCAGAAGGGTGGGGGCGGGGCGCGCGCAGAGTGAGTCGCGGTGACTCAAGACTCCACTCCCGCCGACTCATTCCGGCACCCCGACCCGGGAGGCGATTTGCAATGCAAAGTCACCCCGCCTCCAGCACTCAGCCAGCCGGGTACCCGCAAGAACAGGGACCTCACCGGCCCAAGGGCCACTCCCCCGCCCTCCCCTACTGGCAGCCGGGCCGGGAGAGGAAGTTTTGCAATCTCGGACAAACAAACGCAGGTCTTGCACAGGCTTGAAAAAGTTTAGGGGAAAATGAGGAGTGAGCGAAACCGAAGCTATCGCCGGCCTAGCGCTCTGCTCCAGTGGGTCTCCGGACGCGACCTGCTAGGCCTACCCACCCTGCCCGCCCCCCCCCCCCCCCCACTTCTATTCTTCCTTCTTGAAGAAGCCTGGTAGTTACCTCGGAGTCGAGGGCGCTCAGTAGCCCCCTAACCAGCTAGATAAGTCGAGCAAGTCACGCTCCGCGGGGCTCAACTCGCCCTCGCAGCCACTGTCATCCGAGGAGTAGGCGGAACGCGGAGACTCGGGTTCAGAGCTGCCTTCTCCCCCCGGGCACGAAGAAGAGCAAGAGGGCGAAGTGGCGGTGGGAGAGGTCTCAGGAAGCTCACAGGAAACCGGGACACGCGTGGCTGGTGCCAGCAGCCCCCCGGCCAGCGCAGCGCGTACCGCATCGTGCTCAGCCAGCAGGCGTTGCAAAGCGCGGATGTACTCCACCGCCGAGCGCAGCGTCTCCACTTTGCTCAGCTTCTTGCTGGCGCCGCCGTGCGGCACATGTTGCCGCAGCGCCTGGAAGCCCAAGTTCACCAACTTCACGCGGTTGCGTTCGCGCTCGTTGCGCCGCGCTACGGCCGCCGCGCAGCCCCCAGACTCGGCCGCGCCCGGCCTCCGCCGCCTGCTGCAGCGCAGCAGTTCCGGTGATGTGGATCTCTGCCCGGCAGCGGAGGCGACAGGGACTGCAGGCGAGGAAGGCACGAGTTCTGGCAGTGTGCCGCCGTCCATCGCGCCCGCATCCACCTGCGGGGCGCCTGTTCCAGGCCCCGACGCGCTGCAAAGAAAGTGCGCGCAGTAGAAGCAGTCGGTGGGAAAAGGACGTTTGCGCCCCTAGAAGGCCTCGGACGCTGTACTACCGAGGAACTCACCAGGGCACCCGTTCCAGATCTTCTGGAGTCCGGGGACTTGTAACGTAGGAGGCCAAGGGGTGGTGAGCCTTGCACGCTGAGAAGCGCTGGGCGCTCGCGTCCCGTGCGTGCGGCCGGATCTTCGCAGGTGCGCAGCGCAGGCAGCTCGTTTTTAAACGTATAGATAACCCTCCTCTGCGCCGCCGCCTTTCTCACTCCCTCCTTCCTCTGCCTCGCCCTCCAGACACGCTTTGCCCTCCCACTCTATAAAGCCCAAGCCAAGCGCGCGCCCTCCGCCTAGTCGCCCCGGGGCACAGCCCGCGGGTCGCGGATGCTCTCCCCCCCCGCCTGGCAGGTGCCTAGTGCGCCTCCCAGAACGCCTCCCGCAGATCTGCGAGCGAACTGGATGCTGTTTGCAGGTCTCCCACCTCCAGGAACTGTCTGTCAGCAGTACCCGGCGAAACCTTCCTGTATCTCCCGCCCTCTGGAGCGCAGGGCTAAAACCCGAAGAGTCGCGGGCCTTCTACACCCTCTTCTCCGGCTCGAGTGGCAGGTGTGGCCGCGGTTACTGCCCAGCTGTATGAGAGGCGCGCGAGACCCCCGGGGGCAGCACGCGCCGCCCTGCCCGCCTCCGCCCCCCCCTCAGGAGGCGGGGGGTGGGTGGCTCTCAGCCAATCGTGGGCCTCTGGCTTGGCCAATCGTGACGGGCGAGTCCCTACGCCCGGCCCCCAAGAGGAAGCGTACGCCTGGCGCGTGGCTGCTCCTGGGGAGCGTCTCTAACAAAGCTGTGCACCCGCTCGGGCTCGCCCTGTACGGTCCCCAGCGACAGGGATGTCTTCCTCTAACCCGCGCGCACCTGGACCCTTCGTTGTGGCGGGGCTGGAGAGGTAGTTGCTACCAGACTGGGTGAGAACTTCAGATTTCCAAGAAACTTCTCCCGCGTCCTGCTGCGCTCAGTCTGTCCTTGTGATTACTGTGCGCCCTGGGCCAAGGCCTGGGTAACGCCTTGAGTCAAGAGATTGGAGGTTTGCCCCAACCGCTTCAGGCTTGGGCTGCGGCCCAGGGTACCCCCACCACTCTGCGCAGACTCCCTCTTTTTCCAGTGTCCCCCACCTCAGCTGTATCCTGTCCTCTACATCCCAGTCACCCCTCCAATCCCGTCCGCACCTCCCGGGTTTTGCTTCTCTCCCTCCTTAGTGACACCCCTGGAGGCTTGAGTTGGGTCCTCCCTTGCCCATCCTTCCCCAGAGGACGCTGAGATAGGGGCGGGGAAGGTCCCAGATTTGTGCCAGCATGGGCCGTGATCTGCTGCTAAGTTTGAGTCTCTGAGAGAGACGTAAACAGAGTTTCTCCCCGACCCATGGAAGCAAATTGTAGGGTTGTGTGAGAGAGAAGGACTTTGGAAATGACAAAAAAGAAAAAAAGAAAAGAAAAGAAAAAAAAGATTTCATAGAAAAGTTTTAAACCTGTATCATTATCTCAGAACTGTGACCTCCAGGCCAGTTTTTCTCTAAAGGACTATGCAGGCCTAGGAACAGAGTGATGGGTCAGGTGACTCACTTTCCTGCCTGGAGCTTCTGGCTGCAAGGAGGTGGTGGGGCCCAGGGTTCCCTCCTCCAGGGAACCCATCGACAGGCATGGTGTATTTACTACCAGCCTGTAGGTGCCCACTGGCTCCTGGTGCCCTGCAGGACCCTGTTTGGCCTGCTTGACCTCCCCACTACAGAAGTCTGCAGAGTAGCATCCACTCGTTTTTCTGCTCAGAGACGGCCTGGAGTGGGTCCAGAGTCTGAAGCCAGGCTTCCTGCGCAGGATCATCTCAGCACCTGTCTGCTCAGAGTGAATTTGATGGACTCTGTCCTCCACTCATGTGACGACCTAAGACCAAGATGCTAGGAAGAGTCCCAGAACTCTGCACCCTGGGCCTTGAAAGTCCTTGTCTGTCCTGGAGACCCTGCTCCAGGCAGGAAACTGAGACACCTGACCCATCACTCTGTTCCCAGGCCTGCATAGTCCTTTAGAGAAAAACTGTGTTCACTGCTGCACTGCAGACTGGCTGGGCGTTAGTGACTTGGACAATGATTTCTTCTTTATCAGTGTCCCAGGGACTGGTGGTTGGTTTCTATTCTGGTTGAGCAATAGCTTCCCTTGAGGGGCTATGGGGGACAGTAGCTGGGGCTGAGTCTCCATTTGATCTTCATTTGGTTTAGAAGCTGCCTCTCTCCTGGGTCTCTATACTTTCTGGGTCACTTTTTGTTCTGAGGCAAAGGCACTCTCTCCACCTTGAGAGCTGCAAATTGGATGGGTGTGGTGACCACACAGGTGTTTCAAAGCAGCCAAATGTCCATCTAAAGATGGGTGAAGGGTTAAAATGTGGTTCGGCCACACCAGGAATACTGTGCAACTGTAATGACAGGACACACTGACACTCAAAAACAAGAGAAGCCAAGCACAAAGGGCCAGGTATAATATGACTCTAATTCTAGGAAATGTTCAGATCAGGCATATGTACTGAGCCAGAAGGCAGACTAGTGACTCCTGGGGCTGAAAAAATAAGAGCGCCAGATGTGGTGGTGCACACCTGTAATCCCAGCCTGAGTCTGATGCAGGAGGATCACTGCACATTTGAGTCCAGCCTGGGCTACACAGTGAGCTCAAAGCCAGCCTGAACTGCGCAGCAAGTGCCTGTCTCAAAAAGCCAAAAAACAAAACAAAAGGATAAAGGGAGAAGAGGTCATAGTTAAAGGGTATAGATTTTTCTTCTGAATTGATAAAGATGTTTTAAGGTAGGCTAGGGTCATATCTCTGCAACTCTGATTGAATCCCATACTTTGAATGGATTGACTATATGTGAATTATACCTTAATTGAGTGGTTGGAAAGTTAAAACATAGGCAGGCTGTGCTGTTGACACCCAGCCTGGCCCCCTGGATTTCCATTCTAAAGAATCAGATAACAAATATTTCACCCCTCCTGAGCCATATATTCTGTGTTATGCATTTTCTTGCCACTTCAGGCAAATGACATGAGACAACAAAGAAATGATTGATTGTGGTTGTCTCCCAACCACGTAGTGGTTGAAATTGTCCCAACCCTCACCATGGACACAGAAACTTGAATTCTAGGCCATATTTCCATGTCACAAAATGTTCTTTTTGATATTTTCTGTTGTGCTAATAGGTATGTGTGGTGGCTTAACTAATGGTTAACTTGTAACATCCAGCTGATCTGAATCAGTGTGGTTCTGGGTACGGAAGGGCCACCTGAGGATTGTTGTCACCACCATAAACAGACCTGGAGCAGAAGATGGTGAGCTATTGATTCTCCTGGAGAAGCCTGTCATGCTGGTTTTCCTGATATGAACTCAGCTGTTCTCGTGGTCAGAGGAGCTTAGGCCCTTCCTGTCACTGAAGATGGCTGTGGTTCTTTACTGGGGAGCTCTGGGCTCAACCTGAATATCGCTTCCTGGCTCTGGTGCAGACCCCTCAGCCTACTGGCACAGATCCTTCATCCTGCTGGTGCAGACTTTCTAGCTTCCACCACTGACCTTTGGGCCTTCCCAGTGCAGATCCTTGAACAGATTTGTGTGACACATTGTCATAGACTCTAGGCCTCCAGTTGAGCTCATTGAGGGCCTTGCCATGGGCTCTACATCTTCAGTTGGACTCATGCAGGACACTGCCATGAGATCCAGGCCCTCAGGTGGATTCTTCTGATCTCTAGTGCATGGACAGATCTCCCACACTCTTCTGCAATTGACTTTTTAGATGACTATATAAAATAATACTAGGGCCGGGGAGATAGCTCAGTAGAATAACAACTTGCCTGGCAAGCACAAAGTCCTGAGTTCAATCCCTGGTACTGCAGTAAAATAAAATAAAATAATCCTATAAATTATGTGTCCTGTATTAAATCCATTCCCTGGCAAGCTCTGACTGTAAGAGTATGTGATACGAAAGTGGCTATCACCGTAGCCATTGCTAGACGTGCAGTTCAATGACTCACGCGGTGCAGGCATCACTTCCATCCATCTCCAGAACTTTCTCATCTCCCAGACTAAAGCTTTGTCTCCAGTAAACGCAGGCTCAGGACACCCCTGCTCCCCCCGCCCCTACTTCCCGGGCACCCCCATCCCACCTTCTGACTGGATTTGACTCCTCTAAAGACCTTTTAGAAAAGAAAGCATGCAGGATTTGTCCTTTTCGGAACTGGCTTGTTTCACTTGAACATGCACCCAGGTTGTAGCGTGAGTCAGAATTTCCTTCTTTTGAAGGCTGAACAGTATTCCACCCTGTGTTTACCCACTCATCTGTCGGCAGTCACTTAGCTTGCTTCCATCCTTGGCTACTGTGAATCACACTGCCATGAATATGGGTGTGCTGACAGACACCAGTTCCAGGCCCTGCTTTGTGTTCTTTCTGGTGCAGGATCAGGAATAGAATAATGCCAGGTTGCACGGTCATTCTGTGTCTAACATTTCATTTTTATTTTTTGTTTTGGTGTTTGAGGCAGGGTCATGCTGTGTAGTTCAGCTTGGCCTCATTTTGTAGATCAAGCTGACCTTGAATTCACAGTGTTCTTCCTGCCATAGTCATCCCAGTGCTGGGATTACAGGTGTGTGCCTCCATGCCCAGTTTTGGTGGCTGGCACAGCTGGCCCAGCATTCTGGGGCCCACAGGGCATGTGATACCAGGCAATCGAACCCCAGTCCTTGTGCTTGCCAGGCAGCTGCTTAAACTGCCCGGCTATCTCCCCAGCCCAGTGCTTAACTTTGAGGTACATCCCCACTGCTCTCCTAAGCAGCTGTGCCACTTCATATCCCTGCCCGACAGTGCACAGTGTTTCACTATCTTGGCATCTTTTTTCTTTGTGGATAATAGTTCATGGGTATGAATTCTGATTTTAATTTTAAGGAATTGCCCCTTGTTTTTGAGCAGTGCAGAAGCAAGTAATGGTTCTAAATTGGACCATGGTCTGCTGACTCTGTTGAAGAGGACTGGCATGTCCACATGATACCTTGGCCACTCCTCTAACTCAACTTGTGGCAGGATGACTTTTGTCTTCTTTGTTCTAAACCTACTGTCCCTCCTGTGTCCCCTCCTCAGAGAAGGCTTCACCCATTGCTGGACAGCAGTGCATGCATCGTGCCCTACCCCCAGGCTCATCCTGTGTCTGGGGCCCAGCCACCTCTCCACACGCTTGACATCTTGCCC